ACAGGGTCTCACTATGTAGTTGAGACTGACCTGGAACTCACTATGTAGCCCAGGCTGGTCTCGAACTCACAGGGATCCTCCTGCCTCAGCCTCCCAAGTGCTGGGATTACAGGTGTGCACCACCACGCCCGGCAAGTCTGAATTATTCTAACATGAGAGGATCTGGATTCTGCTACAAGCATTTAAATGTGTGGCTTTTTTCTTCTGATGCAGAATATAACAGGGAATTGCAATGGAGTAGGGTATCAGGGAGGAAGGGACTTTCCCAGTCTGCCATCAAGAGATGCTAGAAGGGAGTTGCTCCTCCCTAACCACCTGGACTCCTTATCGGTAACTGTAGGGTCCCCAGCACTTAGCAGGGCCCAGGAGCACTCCCAGTCCCTGGTTGTGCTTCTTCTCCCTGTGGGTGAGAAAGCCCTGAAGGAGGTGGAGAGCAGAGAGGGAGGGCTCCAGGGCTGGCACAGGCACTACTCTCCACCGGCTTCTCTGGCTTCCCTGCACCCAGCTGGCGTGTGGACCTCACACAGGCTTCCTTCACCTGCCTCAGGGCTACCACCATGAAAAGAAGGGCTTCCGACTCTGAAAGCTCTGTGTATAGGACTCGCTAGCAGACCGCTGGTGGGAACGGGCTGTCTCAACAATCACAGGCGGCATCTGGACGAGGTGCAGGGGACTCTTGTTGTCTTTCAGTGCTTGTGTCAGATTTAGGATCTGCAGTGGGAAAAAGGAGATGGGTGAGGAAAAGGCATGGGCGCTGCAAGTCTGCCTCTGCAGAGAGGCCAGCACGTAAAGTCCTCCTACAAACCAACAAAAAGTAAACACACCAATGTCTAAGTAGGTATTTACAACAGAGATACAAATTGGCACTAAACAGAAAATCAAACCTCTCTAGTCATTTTAAAAATACAAATGAAGCTAGGCACAGTGGTACATGTCTGTAGTCTCAGCTACTCAGGAGGCAGAAGAAAAAGGATTGCTTGAGCCCAAGTGTTTCAGACCTGGCCAACACGGCAAGTCCTCATCTCAAAAAAATAAAAGCTGGGTGTGGTGACACACATCTATAATTCTATCACTTTGGGAGGCTGAGGGAGGAAGATCACAAGTTCAACCCCAATCTGGGCAACTTAGCAAGAGCCTGTCTCAAAATAAAAGGGGTTGTGAGTGTAGTTTTAGTGTGATGGTCCTAGGTTCAATCTCCAGTATTAAAAAAAAGAAAAAAGGAAGGAAGGAAGAAAAGAAAAGAGGCCAGGCATGGTGGTTCACGTCTGTAGCCCCAGCACTTAGGAGGCTAAAGCAGGAGGATGGTGAGTTCAAGGCCAGCCTAGGCTGTATAGTGAGTGACTTCAAGCACAGCCTGAACAACACAGAAACCTTGTCTCAAAAAAAAGGAAGATAAGGAGAGGGAAGGGGAGGGGGAGGGAAAGAAAAAGAAGGAGGGGAAAGGCCTCTGAATTTTTTGCCCTTCTAGTTAGTAAAGATAAGACAACAGCCACTCAGAGGTTGAGGGCTCAAAAAAAAACAGGCATTCTTCTTGGCTATGGAGCTGGAATATGGGACAGTCTTTCAGACAGAGAACCTGACCATAAAGCTTAAAAAGAATAAAGTCTGACAGCAATTCCACTTTCAAGGTACCGGGATGTAATAATGGATATGCATAAAATATTTAATTTTTTAAAATACAGTATTGTTTGTAACAGTGAAAATGATGTAAACTAGTTAAGAGATTTAAAAAAAAAGGAAGGAAAAAGAAATTAAAATATATAGAAATAAATGTACTGGCACAGAAAGTCGATCCCAATGTTAGCTGGAAAGGAAAAGAGAAAGGAAGCAGAATTAGATTGTGACCCCACCACCACCTTTATTTCTACAATTTTATCTCCCTATCTGTTTAGAGAAAAAAAAATCTGAACGTTGGCAGTGGTCAAATCTGAGTCTCTAGGAATTACAAGTGGTTTTAAGTGTCTAGTTATCTATCCTTATTTTCTAATTTTCCTACAAAGACAATTTTTTCATTGCTGTTATTTTTTGTGGTGCTAGGATAAAACCTAGGGCCTCACATGAGCTAGGCAAATACTCCAACACTGAGCTCCATCCCCAGCCCAAATGATGTATTTTTTTAAAAGCCAACGTTGCAGCTGAATTAGTTATCTAAATGCTATCTCATCAATTTTTTTTCAGTAAAATTTTTTTTGGCAAGTGCTACTCCTGGGGACTGAATCCGGGGCCTTGATGCATACTCAGCAAGTGCTCTATCACTGATCTATACCCAAGCCCAACTTTTGTTTTGTTTCATTTTTTTGGATACAGGGTCCTGTACAAAGTTACCCAGACTGGTTTCCAACTTCTGATCCTATTGTCTCAGCCTCCTAAGCAGCAGGGATTATAGACATGTAGCACTGTGCCTGGCTTCAATAAAATTTTTAATTTTATTTTTTCCCCCCTGTACTGGGGATTGAACCCAGGGCCTTGGCACTGAGCTATATCCCCAGCTCTTTTTTTTTTAGTTTTTGTTTTTTTGTTTGTTTTTGTTTTTGAGACAAGTTTTAGTCACAAAGTTGTCCAGGTTGGGTTCAAACTTGCAATTTTCCTACCTCACTCTCCACGAATGCTGGGACTACAAAGAGAGGCTACTGACTCAGCTAAGCTGATAGCTTCTTTCCTGTTCTATGTCAGATTTTTTTCAGCACAAAGGGTCATTTTGCTCTGGGGTATGAACAGTAGATATGGTAAATATGTGAATGTTAAGCCAGGCATGGTAGCGCACGTCTGTAATCCCAGCACTCGGGAGGCTGAGGCAGGAGGATCACTGTGAGTTCAAGACCAGCCTGGGCTACATCGTGAGTTCCAGGTCAGTCTCAACTACATAATGAGACCCTGTCTTACAAACACCTCCCCTCAAAAAAAAAGTGAATGTTAAGCTGCATACTGGGAAGAAATGGATGCTTATGGAACCATAAAATATCAGGAAGTAGGTATTCTAGGTATGTGGAACTTGCTCAAAACCAAACAGGTTCCACTTCGCGTCTGTCATTTTGTTTTAATATGGTGGTCAGGAATGAACCCAAAACCTTGTGCATGCTCAGCACAAACTTTACCACCGAGCTACATGCCCAGCCCCTGTCATTCTGAAAAGGGAACAGGCTAAAATGTGCATGACGAAGCAAACTCCCAGATTCTCCATGAAGCCACCTACCATCATGGCTATGAACAACCCCACTCTGTAATCTTTCCCCTGCAGTCCCTATCAACCAATCAAAAAGGTTTCAAAGAAGGGGCCAGGGATTTAGCTCAGTGATTCTGATGACTGCCTTGAAAGTGCAAGGACCTGAGTTTGGAAAAAAAAAAAAAAAAAAGGTTTCCAAGGAAATGATGCCCCCACAAAACGACACAACATCAGATTACCTTTCAGCTTGATTCCTTAAAGGTTTTCCTTCCCTTATCCCTTGCCAGAATACACCTTAGGTCTGGTCCTTGACTGTTTTCTCCAATTGCAATTCTGATTTTCAAGTTAAGTGTCTCCTTTGCTTATGTTATATGCTGATGGATATTTGACTGACAATTAGAGGATGCCAAAAGTCCCTCTGAAGACAGTAAGGGCACAGGAGGAGAGAAAGATAAAACTGCACTACTCCCAACCTCCCTTACACATTTCAGGGTATAAGAGGAGGTATAAGAAGTTACCTATCAGGGTAAAGAGGAGGCCTGCTAAGGTGTTGGCAAGGGACTGAGTTGAGACTGGAGAAGATGGTTAATAAGGATATGCTTTACATAAAGCTGAGGTGCAAGCTTACTTTATACTGAATTGTATAATACCAGACTATGTGTCACGCACCTTGCAAGGTTCCCCAAAATTCTGCCATCCTAACTGGATCCACACTTTACTTGGGAAAGGTAAGAAGACCTTGTTACTGATATTCAGGAAGCTGTAATTATAGCAGCTCTTAAAACCTCCAATTGCCAGACATGGTGGCACACACCTGCAATCTTACCCTCAGGAGGCTGAGGCAGGAGGATCATTGTGAATTTAAGGCCAGTGTAGGGTACACAGTTCAAGACCAGCCTAAATCTCAGAGAGAGCTTGCCTGAAAACAAACAAAACAACCCTAATCACCCTATTTCCAAGGGAAATGAGTGCTGCAAGCCCAAGAGGTGCTCTCACCAGGACCCTCTAGCAATTTCTTCCTGGTAGGAAGAAGTAAATATATAATTATGGATAGAAAGACATTGTTTAAAGATGTGAGCTGACTTTTCTGTATGTGAAATCAGTATCCTTTTTTTTTTTTGGTTTTTTGAGACACTATGTAGTTGAGACTGACCTGGAACTCACTATGTAGTCCAGGCTGGTCTCGAACTCACAGCGATCCTCCTGCCTCAACCGGGAGTACCGGGATTACAGGCGTGCACCACCACGCCCATCTGAAATCAGTATCTTAATAACCAACACATATTGATTCAGTACTCTGATATAGTAGGTACTATTCTGTTTTGAATAACTCATCTCATAATAAACCTATGAAGCAGGTATTGTTATTAATCCCATGATACAAATGGAGAAAGAGAAGGAGAGACTAAGTAATTTACCTTACAGGCAGAGAATGGCAAAGCCAGGCTTCAAACTCAGGCACTCTGACCAGTTTGTGCCCTGACCTGCCAAGCCATGCAGTTCTCTTCAGAAAGACTTCAAAATGATAAGCACGATGCTAGTGCCCTATACAGTTTTTTGGGGTAGTATATGTATGTGTATATATAAATATATATGTTTTTTTTTTTGTTTTTTGTTTTTGGTACCAGGAATTGAACTTCAGGACGCACTTGTGAGGCAGGCACAGGGCTACTGAGCTAAATCCCTAGCCCCGCCGTATAGAATATTTGAGCCATTCTCCAAGAATGTTCTTTACTACACTTTGAAAGACAGAAAACATCCTGGGTTTCTATGGCTCCCTTTCAAGGTGAGATACAAAGAAAAATATAATTCATAACTTAAAACAAAATTATAACCATTGTCACTGTCTGAATATTTACCACGTACCAGGCATTATATTTACTTAACACTGAACATGCATTATCTCATGTAATCCTCCCATCAACTGTGCAAGATATTATTGAAAGTCCCTCCACCGAGATCCAATTTTCCAAAGTTTCTCTTTGCTCCTGTCCACTCTACCTCTTAAGTATTAGTTGCCCACTGAAGCCTATTGTTTATAGATTAACTGTACACTAACGTTACCTAGGAATGCACAAACTTTCCCTTCCAAAGTACTCTCCAGTACCAAGTTATGGGAGAAGGTCATACCTGGAGGGTGCACTTGCCAGAAACATTCACACATTCACCAAAATAAAAAGACAAATATAAATCACACACAGAAACTTTGATCACTTATGTTTGCTTTAGACCTAGTGGACTGAAACTTTTGCTGACACATGTGAATGAATTAAGATATACAAAGCCCACTCTCCAGAAGAGGCCACTTTCTGAAACACTGGACAACTGAGGTACCCACCTGTCACCTGTCTCAGACACACACATACCTTCCCTTAAAAAAAATCATATAAAATTCTCCCTTTCAGCAAAAGGTAAGATAGTTGTTGAAGGGCAAGAGCCTACCATATTCCAGTATGCCAGCTGTTTTTTTTTTTTTTTTTTTTTTGGGACTGGGGATCGAACTCGGGACCTTGTACTCGCAAGGCAGGTAGCTGCACCACTAAGCTAAATCCCTGGCCCCTCCAGCTGGTTTTTAATAAAGTTCATTCTTTCTCCATCACTCCACATTTTTTTTTTTTTTTTTTGGAGACAGGGTCTCACTATGTAGTTATGTAGTTGATACTGATCTGGAACTCACAATGTAGCCCAGAGTGGTCTTGAATTCAGTGATCCTCCTGCCTCAGCCTCCAGAGTGCTGGGATTATAGGTGTGCACCACTAAGCCCAGCATCACTCTGCCTCTTAACTCAATTCCATCATGCAGCAACTAACTGAACCTTATGTGGCAACATCACTACTAACTTATTTCAGAAAACAGAAGATTCTTCCCAAGGCCACAGAGTTTCTAAGTGGTAAGATGGTCTGACTCCAGAGCCCAGTTCTTAACCACCAACATACATGGCCTGCCTTGAGAACTTAAGCAAAGAGAGCACTGGTTTATTTACCCACAACTTATCTAGCACCTGGGACAGAGACAAGCACATACTAAGTGCCTCACCAACCACTGGATCCCACTGAAGAAGTGGGAGACTGAGAAGGGCTATCTTTCCTCTCCCGTGTGTTAGGGTACAGCCAAAGCATGTATGTCATAGACTGAAAAGGGTGTTAAGACTCATGCTTTACACACTGACAGCATGAGCATCTCAGAGAGATCCCCAAAAGACACCCAAAGAATCCCAGGCTTACCTGTCCCCGCATGACTGCAATCTGCTTATGGAATTGGCCCCTGTCGAAACCAGGATCTTTCTGCAAAAGAAGGGTAAGATATCAGACTACATGAATACCTCACAGAAATCCATTTTCTCCCCTAGTTAGAAATTTTGTAATAAAAAAAATCTATATAAGGCTTATAGGGCTTGGTGAAGTCAACTAGCACCCTAAGAAAGCCCACCTTTATAGATGAAGAAACAAAACAAGAAAGTGTTTTGTTTTCCAACTCAAACTCAGAACTCTGAGGATACTCTGCAGCCACGTGATGTAACCTCAGTGTGATCTATCGCAGCTGCCCACATCCTTCAAAGCCATCCAAACCAAGTGCTTCTGTCCGTGTGTAAGAACCTTGCTCTACATTGGTTAACTCAAACCAGGTGTTAGTCATTCCCTCCTGGCTTGTGTCAGGACCAAATAGAACTATGAGCCAAGTGTGGTGGTGCAAGCCTGTATTTCTAGCACGTTGGCAGGTTGATGCAGGATGATCGCAAGTTCGAGTCCAACCTGGGCAACTTACTCAGCAAGACCCTGCACCAACATAAAAAACAAAAAAAAAAAGGCTGGGGATGCAGTTCAGTGCAAAGTCCCTGGGTTCAATCCTCGGTATTTGAGGGGAGTGAGGGAAAGGGATGGCTTCTTCTATATAGTTATTAGTTAAGGTCCCCAGGGCTAACCTTGAATAGCTCATACAGGTCCTCTTCCAAGTCCTTCACAAAGTTAGGGTCTGATATCTTTGGAAGAATCAGATCTTTGATCTCCTGAGAGAATGGCACCTTCGCCTGAGGCAACCAGGCCCAGTAGAAAGGATCTGAAAAGAGAAAAGGTCAAAAAAAAAATGTGTTAGAAAAGTCCCTCCTCATTTGTCTTATACCTAGCAGGGAACTTTCAAAAGGAGACTCTTCCTCACTAACATTCACAGAAAAGAAAACTAACAAATGTTGTTAACCATAAAAGTTACATGACTAGTGCACCAGTATTCAAACCCATGTTTACCTAATCCAGCAGCTCTTTCTCAGATGCTACATGACCTTCCAAGATACAAGCTCATCCTGAAGCAACTACTTGCCACTGAGACACTGAGATGGTCCTTCTGACACTGAAAACTAGTGCTGCAAAGGGAGCTAGTGACTCACTACTTACTTACATTTCTCTCCCTTTCCAAAAGTTGCTAAGTTATAATGGGATGGGTAGTGAGTATCCACAAGGAAGATAGGGCACTGACAGTAGCTTGTGTGTAGAGACTCAAGTAGAACAAATCATGAAAAGACAGATTTCAAAAAGTAAGAATACAAATTAGAGGTGACAAAACTCATCTTTGTGCTTCTTTTTTTCTTTCCTTTGTTTGGTTTTTTGAGACAGGGTCTCACTATGTTTTTCAGACTGGCTTGGACGTACTATGTAGCAGTCTTCCTGCTCAGCCTCTTGAGTGCAGGGGTTACAGGCACCACATCCAGCTTCTTTATGCTTCTAATTTCATTTTGTTTGGTTTTTTTGTAGGGCTGGGGTTGAACACTGCACATGCTGGACCCTAAGATATTCCTCCAGCTTCCTATGCTTCTAATTTCTAATCACTCATATGCCTCTAGTAGAAATAATACAGGGAAAAAATTTTAATAGTTTACATTATGGGATAACTGCCATGCGCTAGTCACTGTTAAAAGTCTGAGCAGCAGCCGGGTGTGGTGGCGCACGCCTGTAATCCCAGCACTGGGAGACTGAGGGAGGAGGATCATTGTGAGTTCGAGACCAGGCTGGGCTACATAGTGAGTTCCAGGTCAGTCTCAACTACATAGTGAGACCCTGTCTCAAAAAACCAAAAAAAAAAGTCTGAGCAGCAGCCGGGTGTGGTGGCGCACGCCTGTAATCCCAGCACTGGGAGACTGAGGGAGGAGGATCATTGTGAGTTCGAGACCAGGCTGGGCTACATAGTGAGTTCCAGGTCAGTCTCAACTACATAGTGAGACCCTGTCTCAAAAAACCAAAAAAAAAAGTCTGAGCAGCACTACTTCATTAATTCTTAGAACAATGCTATGTTGGAGATATTATCATCTCCATTTCACAATGACAAGATAGATACTGCAAGAGTAGAGCCAGACCAGTGGTCCTGAAACTTACATGCCCTCCAGGAGTCGGGGTGCTTCAGGGGGAATGCCAGCCCATTGTCTATGGCAGCCACCTTGATAACAGGCTCCTTTACAACCACCCAGTCTGTGTCCTGCAGAACAAGGAGACTAATTACTGAGGGAGCCCATTAGCCTCAGGCCCTTTAAAATAGTAGCAAGGCAACACACTTCATCTCCTTCAAAGACCAGTCCTTTTGCAACTTATTTAGAGCTACCCTCCAAACTGATTTCTGTGTTATCTGAACCTGGCACACTTACAGCACCTCTATCCTAGTTATTCAAGGTTCTCAGAGTCCCCTTTTTATTGTGGAAAAGGAGCACTTCCCCAGAATATGGCACAGATATTAGTAAGGATAATGCAAAAAGAAAGATAACTATAAGGCATTCCTCTTACTGAAGGGCAATGAGAATCCCAAGAGCAGAAAAGAAGGAAGAAAGCTCCATATTAGTAGGCCAAGGTCCTTTGTGCGGACCTTGACTCAGATACCATCTCACTGGTAATGACCACATTTTCCAATAAGAAAACAAAATCACAGAATGTAACAGTCAGCTGGCTATTCTTGCAAGAGGGAGTCTGTTTTCCTGCATCAGTGATTCATAAAGAAGAAAAAGACACAAGCTCAATGAAAAGAGGAGGCAGGCCACCTGTGACAGCCCACATCAGAGACAATCATGGGCACACATGGCTGTAGCTTTGGGTTCACTGGTGACATCACAGAACAGGGATTGAGGTTCTAGGACACCTGCACCAGTTCTCCTGGGATTCCCTATAAAAAATGTGGAATCCTAGCCAGCATGGTGGGGCACACCTACAATCCCAGTACTAAGGAGGCTGAGGAAGGGGATTACCGTGAGTTGGAGCCACCCTGAATTACACAGTAAGCTCAAGGCCAGCCTGAACTACACAGCAAAATCCTGGCTCCAAAATACTCTAAATAAATAATATAAAATAAAATAAAGCCAAGTATGGTGGCATACACCTGTATTGCCAGGACTCAGGAGGCTGAGGTAGGATGACTGCCATAAGTTCAAGGTCAGCCTGGGCTATATAACAAGACCTTGTCTCAAAACAAAAAAAAAAAAAAAAAAAAATCCTGGGCTAGGGATGTAGCTCAATGGCACCGCACCTGCCTGGCAAGTGCAAGGTCCTTAGTTCGATCACCAGCACAAAAAAACAAACAAACAAACAAAAAAATTCCTGTATGATGAATCAATTTCCATGGGAAAGGCCTGAAGAATCTACAAACACACGTACGAAGGTGGTGGTGTAGACTGAACTCAGAGCTGTGCATGTGCTAGGTAAGCACTCTACCATGAAGCACAGTTCTTTCAATGAAGAGCACAAAATGTGACAGCTAGTGTTAGAGAAGGAAGCAAAACCCCTATAAGAAATAAGCACTGGGGCTAGAGGTGTAGCTCAGTGGTAGAGTACATACCTATTACATGCAAAATGCTGGGTTCCATCCCCAGCAACACAAAATAAGAATAAAATCCAACCTCACTCCTTCAGATACTTCCTGCTTCTTTTTTTAAAAACATGCAGATACAGCAGCATAGAGAAGAGTGGTGGGAGAGAAACAGGAGAGTCAGAAAGATATAGGAGAAGCTTTCTCAAAACTAATTCTATGAAATTGTGGTCTTTTGTGAAGAGCGTCCCAAGTTAAAATCACTTGGCCAAATGAAACCAAACAGGTTCATTTCACATAGTATTTCTCAGATTTTTACTATGCTACTATGCAGTGTGAAGCTCAAAGGAATAAAGTACATAAAATATTTCAAACTTATTTGACCTTTCCTTCATGTTATTCCTATTAACATCAGTCAGTAGGATGTTCTTTAAAACACAAATTGAAAAAAGCTACACCAAACATTAAGCTATTAATTTTCAACACTGTGCTTCCCTCATTCTTCTGAACTTATGTGACCTAAATCTGAACTTAACTGATCTTTTATATTTGTGGCTTCTTTTTTTTTCCCCCCAGTAATGAAGATCGAATTCAAGACCTTGCACTTGCAAGGCAGATGTGACACCAGTGAGCTAAATCCCCAGTGCCAGACCTTTTTGAGACAGAGTCAGAATATCACTAAGTCACTAAATTTCCCAAGCTGGGCTCAAATGTGCAATCTTTCTGGCCTCAGCCGAATAGTGCTGGGATTACAGGCATATGCCACCATTCTTGACTTGTGTGTTTCCATATTATAGATATATTCTTTATTATAAGGATATCCTTCTCTATCCTCTTCTTTGTTTTTCTGTTCTGTTTTGTTTTTGAGACAGGGTCTCACTATGCAGTTCAGGCTGGCTCCAAGTTCACAACATAGCCCCTGGTGGCCTCAAACTTGAAGCAATCCTCCAGTGTCAGCCTCAAAAGTGTGGGATTACATGCATGCACCATCATGCCCAGCCTCTATCCTCTTCTTTGAAACACAAAAATCTCTTACCCGAGAGCTAGAACTATCCATTGGACAGTCATATTTAATCAGCCAATTGTCATTGCCTCGATCTGTGAACAGAAACGTAAAGTTAGCAGAAAAAATGGGAGTGACTTTTAATTTTAATAGTCGTAAACTAGATGTTGTGGACAACTGAATCAACCATTCTTCTGAGAACTACAAAAGCTGGATAAAATATTTTGAATTCTCTTAAAGGCATTGTTGGTTTTAATAAGACCATAAGAAATAAAGAGTCAAGAACTGGGAAAGAAAGAAACTCCAGAAAGAGGATCTAAGTATTATTTGTGGCTTCTTCTCCCCTAAACCATCTGCTCATTTGGGAAGATGCAGCTAGAGGCTGAGCAATACAACAGTGTTCTGACAGCTTTGTAGAATTAGAAAAACAAAAATTGTACTCCAGTCACTGATAAGGGGTAGAGGAGACTGGTAAATAAATCATTCATGCTTTGAGGTGAGACTTGAAGGGCTATACCTTGAATATAAGCCAAACTCATCTTAAATACCTGAAATTAAACTGATCCTGCAGTGCTTAGTACCCTAGCTCTTGTCAAAAGTGAACTTCATCCTGTAGACAGTTTATACACTAAACCTTCAAACATTTCTACAATTTCTGATAGAAAACATTTGACAACCAAAGCTAACCAGGTACACAAAGAGACAAGATGACATGAACAAAAACTGAGACAAGAGAAAAATTAACACTGATGATATAGTTCCCAAACAAGGAAATATCTTACTTAAACTTTAAAAGAAGTTCAAGATAAAAATAATTATGCTTAAGAAAATAAAAGGCAGAGAAGAGGAAAATGACAGAGTGGTAATTGGCAGCAAAATTCACCCTCTGCGAGATCCAGAATTCAGACACACAATAACAAGAAGAAAAGTGAGAAGTACATTGCTGGGAATCAGGAAGGAACTGACAGGAAAATCAGAAGCTACAGAGAAGCTGGAGAGCCAGTCCACAACACAGAGGGGAAAAAAAGCCAAAATGGAACAATGTGGATTCTATCCCTGGCTCATGGCTTGTGGGGAGGAGAACATGGTTCTCCAGAAGCAAGGCAAGCACCCAAGCCTGGGAGATCCAGGGAGAAACAGTGGCAGAGTACATGGCTCTTGTTAACTACAAAATCAGCAAAGGGTTTGTTCTAAGGGGACTCCTTCCACATGGCAGACCATAGCCAGGGTGTGGGAGAGTGCCTGCCATATCACCAGAGAATACTTAATCCCCTGATATTTTAGGAAGGGGCTGATTATTTAATTCTGGACTTAGAACAGCAACAACAAAAACTTTACTTCAGGGCTCCCTGAGTGGCCTTCCAACATTGAGTGAGTGAAAGACAGCCACAGGAGACAGCCATGGAATGGGACTGAGCAGTGAGCCAGAAAGAAAAGAGATCAATGGAGAAGTTTTAAAACAGGAAGAACACAGCCCCTCATCCCAGCTGTGCACAGAAACAGCCAGATTTGAAAGTGCCAGCATTATGTATTCCAACTCTTTCCCTGCTACCTACATCCAGATCTGGAGTCTGATTGCCTTCCATATCTACCAACGTGAGTAAGAACATGTCTTAGTACTGCCACAGGCACTGGGGTAAAGAGCGGGGCCTCTGAAATAGCAGGGGCACCTCACAAACCCACAGGTTGTTAAGTTAGGCAAAAAAAACTGTCTTGCTGGTCTGAAACTGGAGTCCTGGAAGGGAACCACTCCTTCAAAATTATAGAGATTTTTCCCCCGTCTTTGGATTCTTTATTTTTTCTGTCTCGTAACTCTTTCTTCTTCTTTTTTTTTTTTTTTTTTTTTTTTTTAGAGGCAGGCAGTAGAACCACTGAGGTGGCCCTACTTGGGGTTATTTTTACATCCTCTTTTGTGTTTCATTGAGCCTCATGTCTGGTTCCTTTTTTTTTTTGAGACAGGGTTTTCCTACATAGTTCAGACTGGCCTGGAACTTACTATGTAGTACAGGCTAGTCTCAAACTCACAGCGATCTTCCTGCCTCAGCCTCCTGAGTGCTGGGATTATAGGGGTGCACCACCACACCCTGCTCAACTCTTTCTTCTCTATCAGTTTATAGGAGTTTGGGGGATTTTCCTTTGTCCTTTTTTTCTTTCTCTTACTTTTTTTTATTTTTGGTACTGGGGATCAAATTTGGGTCCTTGCGTTTGTGAGGCAAGCAGTGGAACCACTGAGCCAAATCCCCAGCCCATTCCTATTTTTCTTTCTCCTTTAAACTTTTTTCTATTTTTATTCTCCATATTATTTTTCTCCTTTTTCGTTTACCTTCTTTTCTCATTTTTCCTGCTACCTTTATCTAATGACATCTATAAATATCATTTTACTCTGTAGTAGGATCCTTTAATTCACTTTTCTCTCCTTCTTCTCGTCTATTAATTTTTCTTTTTGCATTCCCCCAGTCCCAACCTTCTATAACTTTAATAGTATAACCATTAAGCTGTATTTATCTTTAGATAGTTAACTCTGTGTTACTACTATTAAATTCTTTTCCATAATTAGTAGAGGTATAGTTATCACACCTAGATATTTGCTGTTTATAATATTTGATTTGTCTGTGTGTACTATAATTATATATTTCTAAGGTGAAAAATGGCACATTATTAGTTCTTACAGTATGTAAGTATCTAGTTTGTCTTGTACAATATTACTGTTGCTGATTTAGTTGGTACTGCCAGGGTTGCATAGTTGTTGCTATTGATATGTTTTCTCTATATGCCAATGCGTGGATTTTGTGGCATTAATAACACTGAGGTCCACTCTAGGAGAGCTGCGTGCTGGGCCAATTACACTGCATCTACTCTCCCAAATTAACAGGGGTGATGGGATACTGGGACAGAGGCAAAGGACTCCACGCCCTCCCTGAGTACATTACTGAAAAGTAGACCAACTAAAGAAATCTCCATAATAATAACAAAATCTTTCTACTGTAAGCAAATGTAAATCTAAGCACAAAACAAACAAAAATTAACAGAAACATAAGAAGATAAGGCAACAAAATGTATCTCAAAACTCTCAACTTCTCCAAAGCCGATCCAGGAGGCATCAAGAAGGATGAAAGCAAAAGCCACAGGGATGAATTATTTGAAAGAATAAAAGACCTAGAGATGTGACTTAGTGGTAAAGTGTTTGCCTAACACTAATGAAGCCTTGAGTTCAATCCCCAGTACAACCACAAAAGAAAAGGATAACAGAGAAGATTAGAAATCAAAACAATAAGGTGCTCTATGCGCTCAAAGAAGATATAACTTTTAGTTATAATGGAGATATTAAACAAAACAATTGCACTCCTGTAATCCCAGCACTCAGGAGGCTGAAGCAGGAGGATCACTGTGAGTTTGAGACCAGCCTAGCCTACATAGTGAGTTCCAGATCCGTCAGTCTCAACTACACAGTGAGACCCTGTCTCAAAAAAAAACCAATTGGAGCTTACAGAAGATCCTAATAAAAAACTGAGCTTGGGCCAGGGATTTAGCTCAGTGGTGCCACTGCCTACCTCACAAGCAGGAGGTCCCAAGTTCAATCCCCAGTACCAAAAAACAAAACAAAACAAAAAACTGAGCTAAACAAAATGATACAAGACATGAATGACTAGTTTAGCAAAGACTTAAGAGTCCACAAAAAGGTTCCAAACAGAAATCCAAGATATTAGGTTATAATCAAAGTATGAACAGCAGAAGCAACTACTGTGAGGATAAAATATCAGAATTAGAAAGAATGCTTTCGAAGAATAATTACAGTATTCAGAGATATCTTAAAAACAAAAGAATATGAAAAATGGATCCAATACCTCCTAGATGACAAAAAGACTGATTAATTGGAGTAAGTGAAAAATCAGAAGACAGAACAAAGGGCATAAAAAGCCTACTTACAGAAATAACAACAGAAAACTTTCCAAATTCTGGTCAAGAATTAAGCATACAGAAGATGAGTGAGGCATACAGAGCCTCAAATAACCATGATCAAAAGAGAACCTCTCTACAGCTCATCATAATCAAAATCCCAGAAGTCCAATATGAGGACAGAATCTTTAAAGCCATTAGAGAAAAGCAAAGAATCACTTATAAAGATAAACACTTAGGGCCAGGGCTTTAGTTCAGTGGTTCTGCTGCCTGCCTTGCAAGCACAAGGACCTGAGTTCAATCCCCAGTACCAAAAAAAAAAAGATAAACACTTAGAATTTGGAGCACACTTCTCAACTTTTTTTTTTTTTTTGGCAGTACAGGGGATCAAACTCACGACCTTGCACTTGTGAGGCAGGTGTAGTGCCATGAGCTAGATTCCCGGCCCTCAACACAAATCTTAAAGGCCTAATAAATCTAGGCCAAGAGTGAAGTGTATCAATTCCTAAAAGATAACTTCCAACTCAGATTTACATATCCTGCAAAATCTTCTTTCAAAATTGATGGAGATATAAGATACTTCCATGACAAAGAGCACCTTAAGAAATTCATGACTGCCAAACCAGCACTACAAAAAATTCTCAAAGGATATCCTAAAAAAGACAGTGAAACCAACAACCCACACACACACACACACACACACACACAAAAATAATAGAATGAATATATCAGACAGGGAGATAAAAAGGAAATCAGCAAAGGAAAATAATGTAATCACAGTAATAAATGAATAACTTTCAATAATAATTGTCAATTTGAATGACAATTCCCAAATCAAAGGACACAGATTAGCAGAATTGTTCAAGAAACAAAATCCAACAATATGCAGTATACAAGAAACACATTTAATTTTTTAAAAATACAGATTAAAATTCAAAAGGGTTGGGAATTTAGCAAGGTACTGCGCGTGCCTTGCAAACACAAGGTCCCGAGTTCAATTTCCAGCACTGGGAAAAAAAAAATTAAAGAAGATACAAGTGGAAAAAAGATTCTGTGCTCACAGATTGGAAGACCTATTATTTTAAGAATATCACTACTACCCAGTAATATTTTTTCTCTCTCTCCCTTCCCCTAACCCCAAGCCCTTAATGTAATCTTTATCAAAATTGCAATGATGGGTTTTGCAAGAATAGAAAACTCCACCCTAAAATTCATGAAATCTCAGGAGACTACTTAATCAATGCAATTCTGAAAAACAGCAAAGCTGAAGGACTCACACTTACTGCTTTAAAAAAAGAGTATAAAGCTATAGTAATTCAGACAGTATGGTACTGACATCAAGACAGACATATAGTACTGACCTTCTGTTACTGAGTATTTTCTTTCTTTTGGCGGGGGTGGGGGTAAGGGGGTACCAGAGATTGAACTCAGGACCTTGTGCTTGCAAGGCAGGAGTGGTGCCACTGAGCTAAATCCCCAGCCGCTAAGACAGACATATAGACCAATGAAAATGAAGAGTCCAAAAATAAACCTTCACAAAGACAGACATATAGACCAATGAAATAGAAGAGTCCAAAAATAAACCTTCACATATATGGTCAAATAATTTTGACAAGGGTGCTAAGACTACTAAATGGTATAGTCTTTTCAACAATGCTGAGAAAATGAGATACCCACACAGAAACGAATGAATTTGAACCTCTAGCTAGTACCATATATGATAATTAAATCAAAATGAATCTATGACCTAAATTTAAGACATAAGTACAAATTCTTAGAAGAAAATATATGTAAGTTTTATGACATTGGATTTGGCAATGATTTTTGAGCATGACAGAATATATAGGCAATAAATGAAAAACTAAATTGGACTTTGTAAATTAAAATTTTTTGTGCATCAAAAGACACCACTGACAGGGGCTGGGGATTTAGCTCAGTGGTGCCACGCCTGCCTCTCAAGCACAAGGTCCCAGTTCATCCCTGTACAAATACCAAACAAACAAAAGACAACACTGACAGTTGTGATTGTGTATGCCTGTAATCCCAGGCCTCAGGAAGCTGAGGTTGGAGGATCTCAAGTTTGAATTCAGCCTGAGATAAACAGCAAGTGCAAGCCTGGCCTAGATTACACAGTTAGACCCTATCTCAAAAAACAAAACAAAAAAACAGGGCTGAGGATGTAGCTCAGCAGTATACTGCTTGCCTAGCACCATATCCAAGGCCTTGGGTTCAATTACCAGTACCACAAAACAATACAACAAAAAGTAAAAAGGCAACAGAATGGGGGGAAATTGTGAATCATACATCTAATAAGACATTAATAACCAGGATATGTAAGGGACTTGAAAAACAAAACAAAAAAACAGGCTGGGTGTGGTTGCACACACCTGTAATACAGCATTTGGGAGGCTGAGGCCAGAGGATCTCCTGTTCAAGGCCAGCCTGAACTACATAGCAAGTTCAAGGCCAGCCTGTACTACAAAGTGAGTATCTCAAAATAAATAAATAAATAAAAACAACAACAACAAAAAACTGATTCAAAAATGAGCAAAGGGGCCAGGGATTTAGCTCAGTGGTTTGGTGGGCTGCCTTGCAAGCACAAGGACCCGAGTTCAATCCCCAGTACCAAAAAAAAAAAGAGTAAAGGACTTTAATAGACATTTTTCTAAGAAGGATATACAACTGGTCAATAAACACATGGAAAGACATTTAATATCACTATTCACTGGGGAGCTGCAAAGTGAAATTACAAGGAGGTGTCAACTGATACTGATCAGAATGGCTACTCTCCAAAAAGAAAAAACAAAAACTATGGGTTGGGGGTGTAACTTCATGGTAGAGTACGTGCTTAGCATACACAAGATCCTGCACCATCACCACAGCCTCTCAAAAACCCCACAGGAAATGGTAGTTTTGGCAAAGATGTGGATTACGCACTGTTAGTGGGAATAGAAAATGGAAGAGCCACTGTGGAAAACAGTATAGTGGTTTCTCAAGAAATTACAAACAATCCCCGGTACCATACAAAACCAAAAAACCAAAAACAAAACATACAAAAACTTACAAACAGAATTACCATATATTCCAGCAATTCCACTTCTGGGTATACATTTAAAAGAAGTGCAAGAAAATCTGGAGATATTTGTACATTCCTATGCATTAGGAGCATTATTCACAATAACTAAAACATATTAACCCAAGTATCCACTGATGGATGAGTGGACACTCAAAACATGGTATACATATAAAATGGAACATTACTCAATCTTTTCTTTTGTTACCAGGAATCAAACTCAGAACCCTGTGCTTTCAAGTCGGGTGTGGTGCCACTGAGCTAAATCCCTGGCCCTGGAACATTATTCAATCTTAAAAAGGAAGGAAGCTGGGCATAGTGGTGCATGCCTGTAATCCCAGCACTCAGGAGGCTGAGTCAGGAGGATCACTGTGAGGTCAAGACCAGCCTGGACTACATAGTGAGTTCCAGGTCAGTCTCAACCACCTAGTAAGACCCTGTCTCAAAAAACCAGAAAAAGAATTAATTAATTAATTAATTAATTAATTAATTAGAAAAGGAAGGACATTCTGATATACACTACAACAGTATGAAGCTTGAGGACAATTTACTAGGTGAAATAAGTACATCACAAAAAGGCCGGGCGTGGTGGCGCATGCCTGTAATCCCAGCACTCGGGAGGCTGAGGTAGGAGAATCACTGTGAGTTCGAGACCAGCCTGAGCTACATAGTGAGTTCCTGGTCAGTCTCAACTACATAGTGAGACCCTGTCTCAAAAAAAAAAAAAGAAAAAAAAAAGTACATCACAAAAAAGGTAAATACTGTATGATTCCACTTATATGAGGTATTTAGTCAAATATCAGAGACAAAAAGTAGAATGGGTTGTTTCCAGGGGCTGAGGAAAGAGAAGAATGAAGAGTTATTATTCAGTAAGTACAGAATTTCAACTCTGTAAGATCAAACGAGTTGTGGAGTTTGATGATGGTCATAGCTGCACAACAATATAAATGCACTTAAGACTTAGGAACTGTAACTCTTAAGAATATTTAAGACAGTAAACTTTGTTAGGTATGTTTTAGAAAAAGTACAGCTCTAATAAAGCACAAATTTGTCCTCAATATATGTAGATTTGGTCAGGTTAGGTGAATTAACACATTCCTTCCAGCTTGTACCACTGGTGATACAAACAGATCTAATCACTTTCATCAGTCTTTTTACTAATAAAATTAATAAAAAGTCTATAAATGGACCAAATCTAGTTAGTGGCTTGAATCTGATAATTACTGCCAAAATTAAATATTAATTAATACTATTCATATCAATTAAATAATTATAATGATCAGCAAACTTATAGCAGGGCATGGTGGTGCATGCCTATAATCCCAGCACTAGGAAGCTGATGAAGGAAGATCACTGAAAGTTCAAGGCCAGCCTGGGTTATACAGTGAGCTCAAAGCCAGCCTGATTAGAGTGAGACTCTGTCTCTAAAAACCAGAAAGAATTAAAAAAAAAACAAAAAAAAACTGATTTATTTACTTCATTAAATTAAAAGAAATTTATATTTATATTTTATCAATAATAAATTCTTGGGCTGGGGATTTAGCTCAGCAGTTCAGTGGCCTGCCTTGCAGGCACATGGACCCGAGTTCAATCCCTGATACCACAAAAAAAAAAACCCAACAATAATAAATTCTCTAGGGGCCAGAGATGTAGCTCACTGGTTCCACCACCTGCCTTGCAAGCATAAGGACCCAAGTTCAATCCCCAGAACGAAAAAAATAAATAAATAAATTCTCTAGATTTTATCATGGAACTCTTGTAAGTGCCCTATTGCTGGTATATATAATACAGTATACATTTACAACTGCTGTACCATAAATTAGCTGTATTATAATTTTTTATACCACTTAAATGTTTTCCTTAAGGGGAACTGTAATATGATGACATTTGGACGACTAAATCAATACCTTTCTTTGTATTATTTTAATCAAAGATCTCCTGAGAAGCAGTACAAGCTGCTCAATGGGACAATCATGCATGTTCCACTGGTAGTTCAATTCAGTAGGAACAATCAAATTCAAATCAGAGCTGCCCAGAAGCAAGACATGCAAATTATGTTATGAACACGTTAAAATTGTACCAGAGAATTTTTTTAATCAATGACCTACATATAAATCTCAAGAAATTAGAAAAAGACAAAAAACTATCCTGATATAGACCTTAATACCGTAAGAATGACTAGAGGTCAAGGATAAGCAAACTCTTCATGATGTTTTGGAAGAGCCAGGAATCTCTGTCTGTGACCAGAAACAAGGCTAAGATAAAATATAAATACTGCCCTGGCCTCACTACCCCTGCTAACTACATATGAGGTGTCTGGACAAAGCTAATCCTGGGGCTTTGTATTCTGAGACCCTCTCTAAATGTGTGACCACTCCAATACAAGAAAATATTCATCCTGACAAAGCGTCTGACTCCCAGTCTCTGCATGCCTGCAGGTCTTCCCCATGTCTCAGCACAGCCTGGCACAGGGTGCAGGACCATCCATAGCTACTCACCAGTGTTGCGGATGATATAATCCAACACTACCAACCGCTCAAACTGCAGTAATAGTTGCCTGTTGGTGTTTTCAGGGAGAGGTTCTGCTTCAAAACGCCGCAGCCAATAGTCTGCATCTTTGTAGCCCTCAACAAAGAGCTGAAATGAACCGACCTGCAACCAAGAAAACAAAAGCATTTCCCTACAGCCAAAGACCCTATGGATTAGCCAGGGACCCAGTAAAGAGGCCATAGGACAGGATGTTCATCTGCCTATCTTCAAGTCTGCAGGCAGTTTGCTTTTCCACTTGAATGACAATGTCATTGTATACCAGCATCTTTAATAAGCTACACAAATACAGTCAATACCTTTGGAGGTAGCCCAATGCGGTTAAATCGCTGCCCAACTTTTGGAACTTTCTCCAGTGCAAGCCGCTTGCCCCTGGACTTCACTCGGTCAATAGCACTATAATTGAAGGTGTCACTGGCCAGGTATACCACCTACAGTGGAAAGAGAAGAGATACTCAAGTTAGAGTAAAGTTTAGGGAACCAGACCACTATGGCAGAGAAGAGCTACACGTTCGCCAATACTGTTTCTCTTCCCAGACACAGAGAAAGAATATAATCCTTACTCAGCCTTCCGAGCACCTACAAAAGCAAATACGGCTAGTTCAGGCCAATGGAATACTGATAATGTGAAGTACATACATCACTTCCAGGCCTGGCCCCTCAATGATCCTTAGTTCATAATTCCCAATATGTATAGCTAGAAATGATGAGCTTTGAGATAAAAAAAAAAAAACATAGTATCTCAGATCCCATGTCACTATGTGAGCTGCTACACAGACATGGGCAAAAAATAAACTCCTATTAAATATATTAAGCCACTGAGATTCAGAGGTTGTTACAGCAGCTAGTGTGAATTAGCCTGACTAATAACACCGCTTGGATTAGAAGAGGCCCAAGACCTATTTTCTTTCCAGATACAAACAAATTGCAATTTACTCATCCTATATCCTTGTTTCTTTTGAATTTTTTACTTTGTACAATTATTCATATCAAAAATAAAAATAATTAAAATTAGTTTTTGCTTTTAATGAACTTCAATATTAATGTAGAAACTGTATCTGGAATATTACACAAGAAACCAGTAACTGTAAATATCTCTGAGGAAAGAATTGAGTAGCCAACAAACTGGAGTGGGAAGAGACTGAATTACTTTTCTGTTGACCCATTTGTGCCTTCTGATTTTTATACTAAACACATGCACTGTCTAATTTTTAAAAAACTGTAATGGCCATCAATACTACACTTGATTGTCCAAATGCCATGACATCAGGTAATCCATATGTGCATCCACTTCTGTCTTGGGATGATCTATTCCTGTATCTGAATTTTCACTTAAAACAAATGAGATTTGGGAGATAGAAATATCTTATATTAGCATTCCCGGCACCTAACAAGTGCCTGGCACATGCCCACTAAATATTAAATGAATAAATGAATGAATGAATGAATGAATTATAAGCTGCTCTCAAGAGGTGATAACAAGTAGGTTTTACCACTTTTAAAACTTACATTAAATTTATAAGAAAATCCCACTCCTAAGCCTTGCAAAATTCATCACAAATAATTAATTATTTAACTCATAAAAAGGTAAAGTAATTCCCTCTCATTGCTCCTTTTGTTCTATCCATTCAGGGTTCCTAAAATAAATGTGCAAGGTCAGTCCTATGTTGGACGCTCCCTAACTTACAAATCAGGACACTTTTTTTTTCTCATTGAGTTTATTGGTACATTTTAGGTATACAGTACAGTTACATTCATCATCTGAATCTTGTACCTTTACATGACAGGTCTTGGTTCTCATATTTTCGCCTTATCCCTGCCCTCCTTTCAACCCCTCTTCCCCTCCCCATTTACACTTTATTTCCATTTCTTCATTTTCTCATTTTTTTTTTCTTTTCCCTTATTACCTTTCCCCTACCCTTCCCACTTTCCCTACACCTTTAGCCCTTGGAAGAATAGGAACAAATCAGGACACTTAGTGAGGGGGTGAAAGGAGGGCAGGGAAGGGGAAAAAATGAGAACGAAGATCTGTCATGTAAAACTACAAGATCCCAATGATGAATGCAACTGCACTGTATACATAAAATGTACCAATAAACTCAGTTAAAAAAAAAAGAAAAAAAATCAGGACACTTAGGCATAGGATTGAAGGAAAAGAGAGGCTTTCCTAAGGCTAGTCCATCAATTTCCAACTATGAAAATCCAAGCCATAAACTATCTTCTTCCTCCTATCAGACTAATTTGTGATCATTCTTCCCAACCATCCACTTTTTTTCCTAGAACTAATGAAATTATCATTACCCAAAACTGGAATCTTGTAATTCCAGCACTCTGGGAGGCTTAGGCAAGAAGATCACAAGACCTCCCACGTGCAAGGTCCTGAGTTCAATCCCGGGTAAAAAAAAAAAAAAGATCAGAAGTTTGGACCCAGCCAAACCAACTAGCAAAGACTCTATTTCAAAATGTAAAATAAAAGGGCTGGCAATCTAACTCAGTGAAAAGGCTCTGGGTTCAATCCCCATTACAGCCCTAAAAAGAAAACTGCAGAGCCAGAATTTAAACTCACTTTCTGATTTTTAACCACTGTACTCCAAAAGCACCCCTAGCAGGCAGCGGGGTTGCTTATTATCTACTTCTGCATTGCAAAGGAAGGAAATCTGAGTGATGAGTAAGGAGTATTTTCAAGAGTTTCTAGAGTCTAGGAAAGGCCCAGTAGGAAAATTTCAGGTTAGGAGACTTTGGAGCATTAAGTATAATATAAGATAGTCAAAGTATGCTGTTCATCTACACACACAGATTTTTTTTAAAAGTATAAAGGAAGGGAATGAGCTGTACAAAGCCACACAGTGATTCGGGTGTCAAATGGGACCTGAAGCTGGGGGAATCTTTGGTATTGTTTCTCATAATTTGCAAACACAAGTCATGTCAGCTGGTACCTCATGAACACTTATTATAAAAAGAGCAATTTACCAGGTATGAGAATGAGAGAAAGATATCTTAAGAAGTGGTCTCTGACTTCTAGAAACTTAAAAACTAGTTGGGCTTATTGTTTACAGTTTAGTAACCAAGAGCAAATAGAATCAAACATCCACAGTAGTCACATTTTCTTCTAAAATACCCTAATAAAACCAAAATCAAGTTTGCATCTTTTTTTTTTTTTTTTTTTTTTTGTACCAGGGATCGCACTCGGGATGTTGCCAAAATCAAATTTGAAGGGACATTCCCATCTGCTGATCAACCTCTTTGTCCTCAGAGCCTGCCACCTGAACCTGTGAAGAAAGTCTCAAGCAGTTTTTAATTTAGAGGAGAGAGGTAAATGGATGAACTTCAAATGGTCTGAGAACTTGACTCCAGAAGGTATATGCAAAATATTGACTACAAATATGTAATTTTTTTTTTTTTGTGAGAACAGTACCTAAAGCTTTCACTAGTTCTCAAAGATTGTTAAAACTCAGAACTATCAGGATGCTTCTGCAGTGTTAGGGAATCAGATCAAAGTTCCACATAAGTTGTTTCTAAACCTCAGGTAGCTAGACACTCAATGTGTGAGGATGTGTCCTTAAGTGTTTGTATACTAACCAGAATATTCCTTCCCCTCAGAACTCTTGGAGAATTTCATGGAGCACCCTGCAGTACAGGGATTCTTAAAGTGGGATCAGTAAACTCCTTGAAATTGTATGCAATCAGTTCTGTATATTCAAATATGTTTTGTAGAGGAGTGGTCCAAGCCCTTCATCTGAACCTCAACTAAATCTGTAACACATACAAGATACGTGTAAATCCACTCTAGGTGAGAATTTGCCTGAATCTGGGACCTGTATGTGTTGCTGGGGATTAAATCCAGGGTCTTGTGCATCTGAGGCAAGTACAGTACCACAACTATATCCCCATCCTGGACCTCTATTCTGGTATATTCAGGCAGTTTCCAAGATTCCACAGAACAAAGACAGGTGATAAAAATTCCTTGCAGTTCCCTGAAAGTTCTCCAGTCAAATATTTTATTCTAACTCTCAACCTATCCTAAAGTCTTCCTCAACAGACTTTGCGTAAGTGCTTGGAAGATGGTAGTTAATCCATTCAAGCCTGTATCTAATGCCAGGTACAGTGGCACACTTTTATAGTCCCTGCTACTCATTAGGCTAAAAGGTTTCAGCCCAGTTCAGATCTAGCCTAGGCAACATGATGAGATCTCATCTCTTTAAAAACATAACAATAATTTTTTTTAAAGTTTGTATTTAAATTCTGGAATGGCTCAGAAGTCTAAGAGAGTGAACTGCAAAAGTAGCTAAGTTTCAAGGAAGCTCATAAGTGTGCACTGGACCTCTATGAAAGTCCTGAACTTTTGTGTAAAATCTGTATGAATATACTCCTGAAGATAACTTTCATCATCTGATCAATTCATACATCTAATCCTGTCACCCTTCCTAAAAAAGGTTGAGAACCTTAGACTTAAATAGCCTCCACTGAACCCAAGGTCCCAATAATAGATCTTGGCCCCAGGAAAACTTTGCACAGGTACTAAGAGTTCCTGGAAATGGGTCACTGACCTTTGTACGGGGTACAATGTTGAGTTCCAGTTTTTGGTCCACCAGGCTGGCCCCTGCCTCTGAGAGATAGCCCTGGTTGAGGACAAGGCAGTCACGGCCAAAGCAGCAGGGACAGCACAACTTCTGTAGCCATTTGGTCCACTTAGGATTAAGGTGCCCATATGGCTCTTCATTCTTGGGTTTGAAGACAGCGATGATCCTCTAAACACAAAGAAGAAAATATTAGAGGTGAGTTGAGGGGTCAAAATTTAGTTCTGTGGGGGCTGGGGATGTAGCTCAGTGGTACTGTGCCTGCCCTACAAGCATAAGGTCCTGAATTCAACCCCCTGGTACAAAAAAAAATAGTTATGTGGTAGATCATATGCATAAACAGTGCAAGGCCCTTGGTTAAATCCCCAGCACCAAAAAATTTTTAAAAGGTGAGTTGATTAGCCAGGCATGGTTGCGCATGCCTGTAATGCCAGCACTTACGAGGCTGAGGCAGGAGGATTGCTGTGAGTTTGAGACCAGCGTGGGCTACATAGTGAGTTCCAGGTTAGTCTCAACTACATAGTGAGAGCCTGTCTCCAAAAAAAAAAAAAAAAAGTGAGTTGATTAAAGTGGCCACATACCAAGTAAGCAGAAATCTAGAAGGAAATGAGAGGCACAAGGCCAATAATCCCTACTTACAGTCAGACAAAGGCGTCTCCGTAGCTGTAAATACCAGCTCATGTGAGCAACTAAGAGACCCACTGGAAGAAAGGATTACAGCCTAAAAAGGCGCCATGCCTCTTCATTCTTTCCTTCTGCTATGCTCCTCTTTTCCATCTCTCTTCCCTCATATAAAGCACCTACCTCTAACTTTGTGCTTCAAACAAGCAAGGTAAATAGATTTGTATTTATATTTCTAAGAGCAAGATCCAGAAGCCAACTCAGTGGCACATCTTGAGTCCTCAGCAGCAATCTTATGCCAACACAGAATCGCTTCTCGTACTCCCAGAAAGGCTTTAACGTCATGTGTATCAAGGGCTCCAAAGTTATTTTTGCACCCAAATGTGAGAAATTAACATCTTGGATTTTTGCACGTATCCCTGCCCATTTATCTTTTCTTTATATGACCTACCAGAAACTTAACATCACTAAACTTTAACTTCTAAGGTTTATATATAAGCATGACTGCTCTATAAAAATTATGTAAATTCAGCACATCTGGAATCCCAGTGCTCTGAGAGGCTGAGACAGGAGAATCACAAGTTTGAACATGCTTGACTTAGCAAGACCCTGTCTCAAAATAAAATATAAAAGATGGGAGATGTAGCTCAATGTGAAGGCTTTGGGTTGAATCCCCAGTATGGGAGGTGGGGGAGAGTGATATATAGCTTCAAAAAGTATCAACTGTAGGGCTGGGGATTTAGCTCAGTGGTTCAGGCGCCTGCCTTGCAAGCTCAAAGACCCAAGTTCGATCCCCAGTACCAAAAAAAAAGTTTCAACTGTTAAAAAAAAAAAAAAAAACAGTATTATGGAATGACAGAATGAATTTAAGAAAATCCTTTCATCGATGAGTGAAACCTCTATCAGTCTTCACTCCCACCTCCTGGGTGTTAACAAAGCCTTGACACAGAAAGTTTAGGAATGACAAATTGTGAAATAACAAGAGGAAAAAGAAATGGGGTTCTCTTAAGTCATTCTGACAGGGAGAAATCAGGACATGAAATAACATAAAGATTAAATCTTGGGCCAGGGATTTAGCTCAGTGGTGCCGCCGCCTGCCTCACACGCGCAAGGACCTGAGTTTGGTCCCCAGTACCAAAAAAAGAGATTAAATCCTTCTTTGCTGGCTGACAGTAACAATATGGAATGCCTAGAAATGATAGCCTCCTTTCTAAATGCTTTCTTCCACAAGCCAGTCAGCCCTCTAAGGTTATTTTACATATATTGTATCTCATTTCTTCCAGTCCTCAAACTGATAATTTTTTTTTCTCAAACTGATAATTTAAAGGAAGAAAAGTAAATATACTAACCAAATGACTCATCTTTGTATCATATGATTATCCTTCTCCCCTCACTCCATGGCCAACTGAAGCTCATGTGGGTCATAAGACATTTCCCTGTGAGCATCACTTCCTGAGTGGCAGGATCACAACAGACAACACACACCCACCTGCCCCCATTAAGTACTTACTCATAGAAGGAACTGACCAAGTCCAGAATCAATTGGTCATCTGTAGGCCAGTTCCTTTAAAAAGTCTTACAAGGATTTGAGAGGGCAAGAGAAATACAGAATTCTTATCTTCCCTATAAAAAAGAATCAATTTATTCCTAAAGATAAATTTATTTACTGACAAAAGTACAGTATATATTCATATCCTGTCTTATTAATTACTTTCTTATTGAAAGTGGTTAGTAAGAGGCCTCAGCAGCTTCTCTCTCTCCCTCTCTCTCTCTCTCTCTTTTGGTTTTGTTTTGTGTTTTTGAGACAAGGTCTCACCATGTAGTTTAGGCTGGCCTTGAACTCACTATGTAGCCCAGGCTGGACTCGAACTTGCAGTAATCCTCCTGCCTTGACCTCCCAATTGCTGAGATTACAGGCGTTTGACACCAAGCTCAGCAGCACCTTCCTCTTCTGTGTCCACTTGCCTCTGAACAACAAAGCAGCAGTGGCAACAGGCTCATGAGTCAGAGTATAACTTGTGAGTTCACTGCAATTCTCTGGATTCTGTACAAGGAAGCCATGGGGTAACTGGAAGTATGTCTCAGAACTCAACAGTTCAAGCAGGGCACAATGTGGAACTCAGGAAGCTGATCCTCCAAAAACTAAGAAATTCCTGCTACAGTAAACAGGGGCAAAAAATACCAGGAGTATGGCTTAAATATTCCCACTTAAGCAAAGCAGAACTTGAAGGCCAAGACTGCAACCAAACATTATTTACAGATTGATCTCTCATACGTCTTAATTTCTTTCCACATAAGAATTAGCATTTCAGCCGGGCATGGTGGCACACGCCTGTAATCCCAGCATTCGGGAGGCTGAGGCAGGAGGATCGCTGTGAGTTCAAGCCCAGCCTGGGCTACATAGTGAGTTCTAGGTCAGTCTCAACTATCTAGTGAGACCCTGTCTCAAACCCGCCCCCCCAAAAAAGAATTAGGATTTCATTGACTCTTTAAAGGCCTTAGAAAGTATGGTTAGCTAAGTCACATAGGGATTGCACTAAAGAATACCATATGAAAAAAATAATATTGTATGGACTAAATGAGGGAATGGGAAAACAGGAAAGACTGAGGAACAGAAGGGCATTCAGAGAGACTCGTGACTTTTATGACTAAGTGTAGGGCTCAGTTCAACCTAATTCTGTTAACATTTGCTCAGGTCCTAGTTTGTACAAGATAGTGTGCAAGTGTAAAGTAGGTTTCCTTGCCAGAGACACAAAATAGCCTTTGACCAAGTTTCCAAATATAATATTCACTTCATACAACCATGTTACTGAATAGTCAAGAATACTCTTCTCATTCATAAAGAACAAACTCTAAAACCAATCAAATTAGAAGGACACCTACCAGTATTCAGCTGAGAAAGAAAATGCCTAGTTTTTCTTACCATCCTCTCTTCTTTAATAGACTGTCAATTCTTTATTAAATCTAGGAAAAGTGCCAATATTTTAAAAACACTTTTCCTTAACACCCACTCACTCATCTTCCTGTTTCATGAAAGAGCCAAAGTATAGATAGCTTAAGTTGTAGTAGTCCAGGACGTTGGAGATGAAAAACGACCTGCACAAGGAAGCAAAAAAGCACTGGCTGGTGTCATGATCTACAATCATTTTACATTTTTGCAAATATCTCTGATGTCAGACTTCTCACATCTTCCTTAGTATTCAATATGTTTCAAAAATCACACATGTGATCTCTGGAAATCTCTATATTCATAAGGAAATGAGAGTGAAACAAGTAAATAAAAACTCATAAAATTATTATGAAAATAATTTTTACTCTTATAGCCCAAAAAGGAACTCTTAGGGATCCCTGGACCACCTGCAAGAACTGCTGTTTTCTACGTTAGAGGATGGTGGGAAACAGCAGTCTTCAGTTAGCTATATGGGTAGTGAAGATTTATTTACATGTTAATGTTAGGGACCTGACGCTGCCATCACAGGCTGCATTTTCCTGGTTCTTCTTGCCTTTTAGAATGGCCTCATGCTCTTTATCTTTAATTTCCCTCCCCGCAAGGCCACAGCGGTCAGAAGTTAAACCTAAATTTCTGCAGGACTGAACCCACAAAGGGCAACCTGGCCTGTGATAGGTTAAAAGTAGCCCACTCCTCATAAATAAGAAACAGCCCAGCCCGAAAACAATAAAAGGACCTTCCTTTCTTTGTTCCTCTCTCCTTCTTTCTCCTCTCTCCCTGACCTGCCTTCCTGAATAAAGTCTCCTGTTGGAACTTCTCAGTGTGTGGCCTAGTTGTTGAGCATCGCTGTGCCTGTTCAGTTAATGTAAATGTTAAGGGAAGAATGTACTACTCTAAATATATTAAATCCTGAAAGAAGATGGGATCAAAATACCCAGAATGTAGAGAAAGAGACTTTGACTTGTACTTACTTTCCCACCCAACAGCCATCCATCCAATCTGCCTTACCCTTTATAACTTGCAGCTTGGGATACTGTCATACATCAGACGGCAGGTCGATGTTTAAAATCTCAAGGTCTACATCTGTCTAGGATGTATAAACTTGACTTGTTTTGTTTCACTAAAACAAATTTTAGTAAAAGAATTCTACTATGAGATTCTTTATTTGGTGACTGCCATCAGTATGGTTTCTCAACCACGTGGAAGGTTACAAGAATTTCTTAGAGGGTACAGGTAGTTGGAAGAAGCATACTCACTCTTATAATAATTTTATGTTTGAAAAATGGTAAAAGTTATCATTTTCATGACAAACTGTTGGTGGATAAAGTATATTTAAAGTATATGCACTGAGAGAGGAGGTCAAGTTCATAGAGTATGTGGGCTTTTTTTCACCCCTAGTATTGGGGATTGCAGGACCTTCTCACTGAGTTACAGCCCTAAATTCTACCACCACCACCACATTATTTTTTTCAAATTTTGAGACAGGTTCTGGCTAAATCACCATGTTGCCCAGGTGGGCTCAAACTTGCAATTCTCCAGCCTCCCAAAATTCTAGAATCACAGGCCTGTGTGCAACCTCGCCCAGATGTGGGCAGTATCTTTATAAACACTGTAATTGATATTATGATGCAAATAACAATTAGCACCACTGAATGAAATGCTACTCTCCAAGATTATGAAAGCCATCTTCTCAAATTTACACTACGTTTGCCTTGTTCAATGTCACATATCCAAGAAAGCCTAATCCAGTGGTCAAAAACAGAACAAAATAAAAAACCGTGATTGAGCTCCGAATTAAGCACCAGGAACTATACTATGCCAGAGGCTTTCATACATTACTGATATGGTAGAAAATAGTTTGTTTATTTATTTAGCTTATGGGTAAGGCAGCTAGTTAAGGGAAGGGCCTGAGATAAAGCTGCCTTTAAATGCAAAAACCAGTTTTTTTTTTTCTTTAAAATGTGTTTCTGTAATTAAAGGAAACATTCAAATTGGCCATTTTAAATCCACAGAGTCACCAGGGATAAGTGGCCATTGTGCAGCCAAGCAATTCCTATGCTATACTTATTGATACAATAATTAGCTTTGGAATGAGAGGTGATGTGGCCACCAACTCGGGACTCCTCCAGGAAATCCAGAAGCCCTTCTTATTTCCAATAAAATCCAACTTCCCCTCTTGGTTCCTGATTTCACTCAATGTTTGTGGAACCATGAGCTCAATATACACAGTAACATCATCTCATTTAATCCTCTTAAACTAGTAGGTTACATGCTGTTCTGTGATTCCTGCCAATATGAACATGTGGTATATTACTGGCCACATGAAAGAAAATGCTAAAAAAATAAAATCTGTAATTGGGTGAACACAAGACCTGAAGTACAAGGATATAAGTGAACACGGGAGATATAAGCACACTTCACCATGACTTTTTTGTTTTGTTTTGGTTTTGTTTTTTTTTTTTGAGACAGAGTCTCATTATGTAGTTGAGTCTGACCTGGAATTCACTATGTAGCGCAGGCTGGTCTCGAAGTCACAGCGATCCTCCTGCCTCAGCCTCCCGAGTGCTGGGATTACAGGCATGCGCCACCACACAGGGCTGTACCATGACTTTTTTTTAAAAGGTACTCAGGGGAGCTGAGGATTTAGCTCAGTGGCACTGTGCCTGCTTCACAAGGTTCTGAGTCTGATCCCTGGTTGGGGGGGGGGCATACTCAAGGGGCTGAACCTAGGGCCTCTGCATTGAACCACATGCCCAGCTCTTTTTAGTTTTATATGTTGAGACAACTTCACTAACCAAGCTGGTCTCGAACCACCCATCCTCTTGCCTCAACCTCCCAAACAGTTGTAATTACAGCCTTGCACCACCACGCCTGGATTCCACCATGACTTCTAATTTGGCATTTTCCAGTTCCTGGTCCTAACTTGCTCATTCTGTGGTAGATACCATCCTAAATTGGAAAATGGAATCAAGAATATTCTGAATTAAGTTTCAGAAGTAGCTATCACATAAAGTGCTGGTGTTCCCAATGCTACCCCTCCTTCACTGGACACCAGATTCTTGACTTTAAACCGAGCAAGATAAAGATTATAGTTCCCAAACACTACGCCAGCTAAATTCTGAACACTGGGATATATGTGGAAGAGTCTGGTGCAACTTTTAGGAAAGGCCCTACAGAATGTGGACTTGGCTTCCTCTGTCTTTCCTTCTTCCAACTAACTGTAAAACAGACAAGATACCTGCAGTTTGAGCAGCAATGTTAGAGAGCATGAAGTAGAAGCCACACATTAATGATGGCTAAATCCTGGATGGAAGGAGCCAGTATCCAAGAAAAACTGAAATGCCAACATCAAACCTTAGCAGCCTTTTGACTTCCTTTACATGAAAGACTAATGAACCTCTTTCCAAGTCATTATTATTTTTAAATATGCCACACATAGTCAATTTTCTTTTCTTTTCTTTATGAGATAGGGTCTCACTATATAGTTTAGGCAGGCCTTGAACTCACGATGTAGTGTGGGTTGGTCTCAAACTCGCAGCCTCCCGAGTGCTTGGGATTACAGGAGTGAGCCATCATGCCCAGTGCTAGCCAAATTTAATACTAATCAATATAGTAACAAAAACAGAATCCAAAAATTCAGGTGACTGACTAACTCTGAAACTGCAGAGTGCTGTAGTTAGGACTATGACCTCCAGAGCCAATACATCTGGGTCAACACTTACTACCTGCAAGAGCTTCGGCAAATTAGTTCTATTGTGTGCTTCAGAGATGTTACCTATGAAGATAATAACAGTACCTACCTCTGAGAGTGGTTAAGAGGATTGAGTTACTATTTGCAAAGTACTTGGCATATAGTAAGCACTATGTAAGGATCTGTTAAATAAAATAAATACATTTAGAGGAGGGCCAAAGAAAACAGTACCAACTACAGGGAATCTGTGGGCCAGACTAATCCTCCACACACTTATGACCGTCCTGAGTGGAACACGAATAAATTTTCTTGGGCCATCCATGTTTCAACTTCCCTTCTAACAAAGAATAGTGGATAGTAAAATTTGGAGACTGGGATATGGAGTATCACCAAAAACTGTCATTCCGTGGATGTACTGAAATGGTTGGTAGTACTTTACCCACCAGGGAGAGTGAGAGAGATTCTATTACTCTCACCTGTCACAGCACTAGGTCACTTCTCAACTTACATGACACACTTCCAAGGAAGCTATAACAATGTCATGGAAGAAAACAACACCTCCCTCCTCCTCTGAACCTATCAACGATAATCTCAGTCCATCCTTATATTGGCCAACATGATAACTCACATCTTGATTCAATCTCCTTCTGTTCTCCAAAAAGATGATAGCATCTGACTGCCATTTAAGACACAATACCTTTCTTTGCTTCTAGAAATGATAGCTCCCACTTGCACTTTCAAGCTCCCTTATTTTAAAGGTCTTAAAAAAAAATTATCACTCTCCCTAAGCTTTCTCCAACCCAGTTTACGTAAACTAAGTTGACAGTAGAAATGGTCTCCGGTTGTGTTTGGTTGGTTTTTGCAGTACTGGGGATTGCGCCCTGGGCTTCCCACTGAGCTACATCCCCAGCCTCCACACCGAGCTAATATCCATCATATTAATAAGTGTAACAATAATACATTTTTCCTATGAACCATTTTGCACCACATCTGAAAACTTAGTGAAAACTTCATACTTTTTTGTTTTTGTTTTCTCAGATAGAGTTTCGCTGTGTAGTTCAGAATGGCCTTGAACTCACTTCGAATCTGTTGCCTCAGCCTCCCAAGCCTGGGATTTCAGGCATGTGCCATCACGCCCAGCCAAGACTTCATATTTCTTAACCCAGTGCTATTACAATCATGCCTCTGGTCAAACCTGGGTCAAATGGCTTACGTATTCTACATTTCTCAAAATTAGTCACTTTTTGGGCCAGGGATTTAAGCTCAATGGTTCTGTCGCCTGCAGCGCAAGCGCAAGGTCACAAGTTCGATCCCCGGTACCAAAAAAAAAAAAAAATTAGTCACACTTCTCAGCTGCTCCATATCCCATCCTAACCCCATCTCCCTATATACACATGCAAGCAAAATAAATGTCAGCAGAACTCCACCTTAGCTGAAAAACTGCTGATAGTCCCGGGGGCGAGGGGTGATGAAAGTAAAATAACAGTCTGTGTTTCTAAAATTCTGCATTCTACGGAACCACTGAAAATGACTTGAATCTTTTCCCAGTAGTGAGCAATAACCAGGGCAGATGAAACTGTGGTCCACCCACGCTATCACCACGGTCTGTCAAAGAGACCTAGGACCTTGGCGGGAGACATCCCCACAGAAGGCTGGAACTGAATCCTCAGATGGGTCACCTGTCCTCCCGAGCAGTTACACACGGCTTGGGGCCAAAAAGAGAACAGGCAAAGCCTCAAATTTGTAAGCCAATCCCAGGAGTTTAAAGGTGAGGAATCTACCAGAAAGCAGCATGTGCCCACGCCTCCGTCCAGCGGCAGATGGCTTCACCACACAGCTAAGCCCCTGGCCTGTATCTATCTGGTCAATTTCCTCTTTTCATTTTCCGCTCAAGCCTCCCCCACCAAAAAGGTTCTGATTTATTTCCTCACTGCGCAGCTTCCCTATCTCCAGTCCTCTCAGAGGCACCCCAAATCCTGCTAGGGGCCGGCCCTCTGAAGTTTCTCTCTTCTGCACCATGCAGTCTCCCTTCTCCCCGACGGCGCGCTCACCCCGTGAGGGTCCTTAACGAAGTAGCTTCCGCTGGAGCCCTGGTAGATGCGCTCGGGGAAGATGCAGCGCTCGGTAGCCAACTCGGCCTGCCGCACCACC